GAGCAGTTTAGCTGAGAAATTCGGGAAGCTCGGACGTATATTTCAAGATCTGTGTAAATTTAATAAAGATTGAAAATCTTTAAAGAAAATGTCGAGTGATAGTGAGAGTAAAGTTGTGGTAGCAGGAAGTAGGTGCAGAAGATATCATCGTGTAAAAGAGGAAGGTAAAGAGAAGCTCTGTTTGGGAACATTTTCAGGAAAAAGATGATACAAAGGCAGAATGCATACATTGTCACCATGAATTTGAAACTAAGTATGCAAATAAACTACTGGTTTATTACGCCATTTGAAGCGTTTGCATACAAACAAAAGTACATGTACTAGAAAAGAAACTGAATCGATATAAAATTTGTCGCATGTTGAAAACGATACGCGAAAGATTGTTAAACCGAATGATATAACACAATGTAGCGACCTCTACTTCGAAGAATTTAGATCAACGACATCTATGTTCAGTCGAGATGTGTATTTAATATAAAGAAACAATAGAATATTTAAAAATAGCTATTAATTTTATTATCACCATGGAAATGTTTACTGACACTTATATATATATTGTAGTCATAGTAGAAATTCTTCATTCGTTATTTAATTTTCATTCGTAGAAATTATTCGTCATTTAACTTCCGTTATGTAATCTTTATTAAATTATTAGTAATTATATATTTTGTGATATTGATAATATTTTTATATAAACAACTAAAATTAATTACGGAGTTCTTATTTATTTGTAGTATTGTGATATAAATATAAATTATCATAATCACTACAAAATTGGTGACCCCGATGTGATCAAAAAGAAGACCCAACCACCACAAAATTAGTGACGTTTAAAAAAAATACATTTAAAAAAAGAAAATTATGGCTACAACTGTAAAATTGTTGACCGATATGTGAAAAAGAAAATTATCATTACAAAATTGATGAAATAGAAGATATAACTACAAAATTGGTGACATGGAAGTTTTAAAAAGAAAATATTAATGTATCTACAAAATTGATTACTTTGACATTAAAAAATATGGCTATAAATTGCTCGAAATTGCTAGGAATTGCTCGAATGATGCTTCCAGATCTGCGACCTTTCGATATAGTTGAAGGCGTGGGCTTTAACGAATAATTTATTCTGTTACCAATCCTTTCCTGAATCTCAACTCTTTCGAGAATCTCGAAATTTTCGGCTGCCCGTCCCGATCCAGAAGAAATTTCGTGTCCCCGACCAGACCCAGATATTTCGGATTCTGGCACGCCTCTAGTGAACACAAAAAAATCCATGGAAAATCCACGTTTCATCATCGGAATCCCTCGAAACGACACATCTCGCAGAGGAAGAAAAAAAGAAATCTCCAATCCCCTAAAAATGAGCCATCCGAGCTGTGCCAAAGTTCAGAATCCCGGCAGACGGATAAACGGAAAGATGGATAGCCAGGGGAAATGAAATGGGGGGAAGGAGGTTTGCTCGTGGACAGTAGATACTCGTTCTTCCCGGGTCTAATTTCGTTAAAGGCGCGTGAAGGCGAGGCGTAAGATCGATCGGGAAGAGAGGATGAACGAAAAGAAAGAGCCTGCCGGGGAATAATCCCGCCGTTAAAAGACCGTCCCGGATGGATCGGAGGTGGGATGGGAGCCGAGCTTTTCGCTGTTTAATTAACGTCCCCGGGATTAACTCTGTTACAGGGAAGCGCTCGGATGATCAACGGATAATCGAGCCTCGAGGACTCTCCCTCCCCCTCTCTCGTTCGTCCCTGTCTCGCTGTCGAATTGGCTGGCTGGGAAAATTCAATTTCATTCACGGTTGCGTAGCCGAAAATATCAAGTCTCGCGGCGGGGATTGTTCAAAGCCGGCCAGCCACGTAGTTCCATCCGCTAGAGATTCCTGGCAAAAGATTTAGGGTCTTTCGCGACGCGCTCGCGCCGCTAGGGATTATTTCTGGCGCCACCGTCGCTCAAGGCCAAACCTCCCACCACTCGGTCAAAGATGGAGTCACATGCGGTCTCGCTTAGAATAAACACTGATTTTTAGGGAATTTTACTCGATAATCAAGTTAGATGTTGATACCTAATTTTAGGTATACACCATGGAACTTAGACCATACTTTATGCTTGTTGTAAATGTATGTATTATCACTTTTTAGTGATCCTACATTCTATTATTCACGTAACTCGAATTGATTATCAATCAGTCATCTATTATTACATTTAATCGAGAATAAAGTCTAATCGAGCTGCCAGGAGAAGTAAATCCACTTTCGTTTGGCGCTAACAAAGTAGTTAGTCATTGGCGGACTTGATTTCTAATTTGATTAGTCAGTTTCGTTGCCTGATTGTGTGTTAAAATGCAGAAGTCTGAATATCCAATGTCTAAGACAGAAATTATTATCGAAAGCGAGAGAGATTTTCACGTGAAGTCGAATTCTATTTCCGTCGCAGTATTTTCAACAATATTCTGTCCATTCACCGGCTTCTGTTCCGGATTTTTAATTTATCGCTCGTAAATTTTGCACACTCTTCTGTCCGCCACTCTAATCAACAAAAATTCACCACGCAAAAAAGGTGAAACGCATTTTCCGGGTGCCTTCAAAGACCATAAATCGTCCCGCGAATCCACGTGCACCACTATCCATCTCGACACTCTCGTCCCGCTTCTTTTTTGCTGCCCTAATTGTTTTTATTCGGCTCGCCCCTTCCTCCTTCTCTCGAATCCCCACATAGTCTTACCGAGCATGCGATCCCTCCTTTCCCTTTCGTCAACCCATTTACCGTTCCAGGATCATCCCTCTTTCCCGAAGGATGCTCGCCGTCCTTGTCTCCCCTTCAGACTAATGGCGATCGAATCGCTTTCGACTGTTTCCAGATCGGCTGGAAGAGAATCGCGTTGCTTAAAATTCCGGTGAAATTACATGAATTACAATGAATTACAGTAAAGTTTTTACTCCTCGTAGAAAATACAATTACAATTAACAATTGAACTTTCATTTGGAACATTAAAAAGTAAATTGTAAAACGTGTTTTTCACTTCACTGAACCTTCAAAATAGAAGGCTCTTTCAAAAGAATCTCCTGCCAAACGTTTCATAGTCTTCTGATTATCTCTTTTCACATTCTGCTTTCGGCAACTTTGACTTCGGTGACTTTTCAATCCCAGTACTGCTGCAAATTTATCACCAGAGACAAATAAAACCAGAAAACAAGAGGAAATCGGACGATAAAATAACAAAGAACTTTTATACCGTTTTGGAAATTAAATAACTGCTGAACTTTTATACCGTTTTGGAAATTGACAATTATTCTACTAGCATAAAATAGAGGGAGGGGCCTGTAACAGTTATCCACATTTTGGAAGATCGCTTGGCCACTTGGCTAAAATGTTTTAGAACCGGCTCGATAACCTCTTGGCCAATTTATTCCAGTGGGTGCATCCTGCAGCTTCTTCTTCTTCTCTCGATCGGCCGGCGGTTTTTTTTTCTTCGCGGCAATCAGTCCGCAATTTGCCTCCCTCTCGGCGTTTATCCGTTCGACACCTGGCGAAGCCCTCGAGTGCTCCGGTAAGTCAACTTCCAGCCAGTGGCCAGTTGGCCAATATTTCCCGGAAGCTGGGCTTCGATTTCTCGCTGGCTTTTTATACATTTAACGCTCGATCATCGAGTCGTTCTTCAACCTCTTGCCACGCACGTCGAGAATTTTTTGTTCCAAAATTGCAACATTTTCACAGTAAAGTATATTTAAATGTAACCCATTAAGTATATTTTCTCAGCTTTAAGTATATTGAAATGTAACCCAGGCAAAACAAACGACAAGTTTATTGCTTCATAATAATTTCCATCCGGTGATATCGTACCGACGAGTCCAATAGTAAAAGAAAGCGACGAATTATCGTATACACGGTTTGGCCACTCGTTACGGTCCGCGCATCAGTTGCCAGCGCAAGTGGTTAACCGATGTTTTCCAGCTCAGTTATCGCAGTTATGCCTGCTCTTGGATTAGGTGTAACAGATGGATCAGGATCTATCTACCTAAATCGTTCAAGCGATCGGTTTTATCAGTTGGTTTCACCTGTTTCAAATGCAGAAATTTCAGTTGACCAATAAAAATTGGTATTTGACTTGACTTCGCTTCACGCAAGGTCGAAGTTCGCCTAAAATATGGCGACCAGGGAGGGTGGAGCACACTCGCGTGAAGCCTATCACCTGGTCGCGTTTTCCTTATCGACCAAGTTATCCCGTCGAGGCAATTACGGCGATAAAGCCGTCGTTCAGTGGAATGCGCCCGCTACAAGACAATGCGAGCAAACTCGCGAACGGAAATGACCGTCGATTCTCATACACTCCACAGAATCCCAAAAATTACTTCCACCAGGGTCCGACGAACCCTCTCGATCAGGGAGCATCAACGTGTTTAAAAGTGGAAGAAACGATAAATATTTCAGATGAGGAGAAGCCTTGAAGGGGGAATGAATATTCCTCCAAGCAAACAAGGCAACTCGTTTGGCAATCTCGGCGACATTACTCATGATTAGGGGACATGACTTACGACTCGCTAGCTTTTCCACGATATAACAGGCCATTGTTATGTGCGCGCGGCTGTGTTTAGCGGCCAGGTTTCAACCGGGGAGGTGAATTATTAGACGAGCGCTCGAGTAGCCCGTTCCGTTTATGAATCACCGTCGTTCAGCGTCGTTAATAACCGCGGCTCGCACTTTCTTATCGCTGCCGGCTATATTCAGTGGCTCGTTCCTCCGTCGATGTCACTCGACGTGGCGTCGTGTGCTGGGAAGTCGTTCTGTCTGATGGCGCCACCTCGTGATTAATTATTAATTGAAACCCAGCGATGGGAAACTAGTGTCTGTAACAGCAGCACCAGAGAAACTGCACGTGTGTGGCGAGTTTTTTTTTGGCATTTTCGTCACGGTCGCTTGCCCCGACATTCGACTTGTCGAACGATATTACACGATGCTTAGAACGTACATACGTGTAACCGATTTCTTCTTGTCTTTTGTTGCAGCCGTCGTGGATGCGCAGCCGGGAATACTGGGACGACAGCTTCGAGGCTCGTTACGCGGAGCTGAGAAAGGATCCGACCAGGCCGCCGTTGAAGGTAATTATATCTTCGTTAACGTTATCACCTGTCAAGCATTTGCGTTGCCCGTCGCCGTGGTCCCTGATTCTGTAACAGGCTGAAGAGACATTAGCTGTTTGAAGAGTCTCAGCCTTCCAGGAAATGTGAATCATTATTAAATAGAGGAATGATCTCGTTTGAGATACCAAGCATGATTACCTCAAGATGGAAAAGATTGCGACCGTCTGATAGTTGAACTATGCTTTAGTCTAAAGGTAGAAAATATGTCAGTTTTTAAATGTCTAAATAAATTGAAGATACGAAGAAATAGTTATCCCGGGATAAAAGAATTTTTGATGCTACATCACTTTAATCCTTTAAATCGTAACAAGTGTGATTTATTTATTTGGTCATCGTAATCAAAATTCATCTCATTCGAAATTATTGTTTGCTCAGTTATCAGCGAATTTAAAAGAGTAACGAAATGCTCAGTTCTTTCGCTTTAGCCTTTACTGAGTTTGACTGTGTTTGACTGTGTTTGACTCAACTGAGAAATCTGACGTGCTTTCACAACAGTACTATTCATCGCACAGTGTCTGGAAGCGGTGTCAAATACTAAAACCACCCAAGTGGTCCCATCTCTTCAATCCCTTCCCTCCCTAATATCCGACATGACTGAGAAGTTTGACACGATTCAGAGTGTTTCAAACGACCTCACAAAGTTTCCAGCCGTCAAGCCAGAGAAAAAGTCCTCCGCCCAGCGTGTCCTCTGTGCGCTCGTCGTCGAGTGTGTGTAATTCCCGCATGTCGCGGTTTCCGAGCAAACCTTTGTGCAACAGTTCCCTTGACCGGCTCGTTCCCTTGGCCCTTGACGAAAGCAGATGGAAGGGGAATGCTCGCTAATGGGAATGTTTCATCAAAGCTCGCGCGAGAGAGGAAGCTAGACGCCCTCTCGTCCGGGAATTTTCAATATTTAACCGTGGCGGTGCATCGTTTATTTATTCGACTAGGCAAAGAGAAAAGAACCCCCGCTGGATTTTTCACTGGGCCGGGGCCGGCCGGTCGGCTCGAGTGCCCGATAACGAATCCCCCAAGCTCCGTCGATAAGTTGCGCCTTTCGCCAATGTTCTCTGAAAACTGTGAATCGCCGGGTTTGATGAATGCCCCGGTGGGGGCCAGTGCTCGAACCAGATTAGGACGAACGAAGTAAATTCGCGAGAGCGGCACTGGTTCTAAAACGAGTAGAACCAGGGTTTTTACTCGGGGCTGGTAAAATTTGGGCTGGCCGGTTGAAGTACTCTCTGAATCCTAAAATGTAGATCTTCGGACAAGAAATAGTTCTCCACGTTTGAAGGTCCGAACTTGGCTAGAAGTTTCAAGCTGTTAGTCGAAATATTCGTCAGACGTGGTACAGTGTTTAGAATCTTTTCAAACATAGTTCTGGTAAATCGTTATACACTTGAAACCTTGAATGCAAGATCTTCTCGTATACTTGAATTTATTTGAATCTCTGTATAGTTAGGCTTGGTACAATGCTTGGAGTGTTTTCAAACATTTTTCCACATTGAAGTGTGAAGTTTCAAATTTTGATAGGTAAAGTTGCCTGTCAAAATCTTCGAACGATCTTTGGATCTTTGGAATCTTTCCAAACACTTCTTCCCAAACGAATATCTAGGATATTATTCGAGCGTATCCACGAAAGAATCACGATTTCAGCGCAAAAATTCGAAGATCGCAGCAGAATTACGGGAAACCAGCCAATCTTTATCATCTGAATCCAGTCCAGTAGAACCAAGGTTCTCACTCCGAGCTCCAAAATTTCATCAGCGTTTGATTAAACCATTACCCATCTAAATCCACGAAATGTAGATCCGATCAAATCGTTTTCAAACACGCCCGCTCCTCCCGGTAGCATCACGTTCCGATATTAAGATCCTTAATTAAAGCGGGATTATGAGAAAATCAAATTGAGCCAAGTCTGAAACGATCGAAAATTTAGCGAACGAAACCCCCGGAAGTCCGACGACACTTCGTTTCACAGTATTCGAAATTCCCTGCCCCAGTTCGTCCAATTTCAACCGGCATCGTCGATTAAAGTCAACCCATTTTTGCTGTCGCTGCACCAGAGCTGTGTATCCAATCACCCAGAGGCGAGAGACAGATTAGACACGGTTTAGAGGGGTTTAAACGCAGCGGAGAAGAATGAACACGATGCGACGATAATCCGATCCTGTGTAATGAAGCGGTAGGGAAAGCGGCGCGTTTACAACGTTGGCGGGGAGCCGAGGGTGGTCCTTCGTACGTGCTTCGACGAGGCCTCAAGGCGGATCCCGCGCCGCGAGAGAGAAACTTCGTTAACGAATCTCCGAAATGCCTCGGATGCGTCGGCTTAATTAGCCCGCGAACGTGAATGTTGGGCCACGGCTGCCAGACGCGGCCGGAAGTGAAAAGGCGAGAGGCTTCCCGTTCGATCGACTCGATGCAACGAATCGGCCGGGCTGGCCTGCTCGTTAGGGTGAAAAATATCATACCCGCCGCGCTATGATGAATTTCAATGTTTGCTGAAAAAGAGCAAAAATCCGGCCAATTTTTTCCCCACCCACGCCCCGTTGTCGACGCGAGATCGATCGTTTCCCACGGAAAATTCCAATTAGGTGCTTTTGCGCCACCTGGCAATTTAGGCTCGGCCTCAGTCTAGGTTAGGTTTGGGGGCTGTTCAGAGTATAGTTCTACCAGCGGCCATTATCTACAAGAACTCGATCGAAATTTCTACGAAAATTTCAAATCGAATCACTTTTAGAATCCTGGATATAGGTTAGGCTTCAAAAGCGAAACCTGAACTCGGTTAGTTGGGGGTTGGGGAATTCCAATTCCTTCGCTGTTCGTTGAGGTAGCCATTCTCTGCAATGATGGTTTGCAACGGAACTCGATTTGCACTGGGGACACGATTTTTGAAACTGTCTGTAGACGTCCGGCACCCAAGTACATCGTGTTAGAGAGAGAAATGAAATGATATCTAGACACGATCTCTTTTGCCAAACAAAAAGTGGCTTCGACAACCAGCGGGCTGAATTCGGTTGGAGGAAAATTGAATCGGGCACTCTCGGTTCCACGATCCACCTCCACGGAATCACAAATCAAAGGAATCGACAGACGGAGGATGTCGTTTCGGCGGAGCAACGCCGTTTATGTGGTGAATTTTTCTCCGCGATATTATCCCCTCGACCTTATCTCGTTGGTTATCTATGCCCGGAAGGAGAGCAGTATCACCTTGTTAGGGAAAATTGGAGAATATTGGCCTGTTTATGACGCTACGGTACCGTGAATGGACGACATCGAGCACATAACCTACCACATATTGCATCATCGTGCTCCGCGAGCGTACCGTCTCAATTTTCAAAAAAATATGCGGGCACCTGCTGTATTTAAATTTGGGTCGTACATCTTTTTGCGTGACGTTGTTTGGCTTTGTGAGACGTTATCAGGATTCAGATAAATGGAACTGCAAGCCATTTTTTGGGTCAGAATACTCGGAAAATTAGGAATTGAAAAATCAGGAGAAGAGTCACTAGAAATTTCTATATTAAAACAGAAAGAGGTTACAAAAAATTGTTAACAGAAGAGTAATAATTTTTTTCAAGAACACTGGAAGATCTTTGAGAAATATTGAAAGAATGAAAGAATATTGCTGAGATAGTTGCACGTTTGTTTATCGTTTATTTATTCTTCATACTCTAGCTATCTATTACAAATATCTTCTACCCTAATTAATATATCTATCCTACAAACCAAATCTCAATCTCTTCGTCGGAGAAAGGAAGATCACAACTTCGTGCGAGAATTTTTTGTTTCAAAAATTGTAATATTTTCTCAATTTTAAGTATATTTAAGTAAAACAAAATAGGCAAAACGAATGACAAATTCATTATTTCTCAATAATTTCTACTCAATACCGATGAGTTCAAAAGGGAAGCGACGAATCGTTGTACACGGTTTGGTCACTCGTTATGGTCCGCAATCGCGCGGATTAAAGCCAAACGATTAAAAAAAAGGAAAAGAAAGAGACTCAAGTACGTTGAAAATGGCAGAGAGGAGTCTCGAAATCGCCAAAAAAAAGAGTGGTTGATGAAACGATGACAAAATGGCGGCGCTGTAATTCGAACGATCTGATCGGCAAACAAGCGTGGAAAATCGCGGAAAGAGAGGCCGAAGAACGGAAGGAAGGACAAGCAGAATTGGAAGTGGAAGGTGCGTCGGATGCATTCCACGGCTAGATCGGCATTGTTGCGCGCGTTTTCGAAAAGGCCACCGCCCACCATTGTGTCTGGCCGACAATGGCCTGATGAGCCAGTATTGTCGAACTTGTCGAACTCCGGCGCGATGAAAGGGCCGGGAGGAAGCCGGCGGTCCGAAGTCCGCCGGCAAGTACGTGCCTCCTGGGGACTCAATGAAATCGCTTTCGTTCGGAAACCACTTCCGTCCAAATATTTGTCCCGTCATTCCAACTCCGCTGGTACTTTCCATCGAACAATTATTAATCTTGTTTTTCTTCTCGAGTGTTCGACCATCTGATTCTGGTGTCCGTAATGGTCGAGCGGGCAGTTTTCGAAGCTACTTTTCCTTGTTACTTTGATTAATCGTTAATTAATAATTGACAATGAAATAAGCGAGCTTTTGTGGGAAATTGTAATTTTAAAAAAATTCGTAGACTAGTTATCAAGCTAGGATAGTTTTAGTAGATCAGTGAAGAAGAGATTTGGCTCGGTTGTTCGGTCATTGAGCTCATTTAGACCAAAAATTTCTGTGTAATTCGATAGTATCGGGTTACATTTGGATTCAGTTATTGGATTACACTGATTGTGAGTTGTAACTTGAAACCTCGTGACGGTGTCGGATTACACTAATTCTCGGTCAATTTACACTGATTGTGAGTTGCAACCTGAGACCGTGTAACGGTGTCAGATTGCCTTTGCATTCAACTGATATTATTTATATGATTTTTTTCTTTTTTTTTCTTTTTTCTTTTGTACCAAAGTTCA